AATTTATTTGTGTATCTTATTATTTAATTTATTTATATATATATAAAGAAATAAGAAATAGAAGTATAGTAAGTAAGAAAGATATACGAATAATATTGAATACATTTGGTAGACTAGTTGTCAAAGTATAATACATATATATACATGTATATATATATATTTATATGTATATGTATATGTATATGTATATCGTTTAACTGGAAAATATTCGTAGTCCTGACATTTATATTCTCGTATATTACCAACACACTTCACCCTCTCGTAGTTGCTTCACCCTTTCCAAGTATAAAATTTCCAACCCCATAGTGGACTTCGTATAACGATCTTAATCGAGACTATGCGAACGGAAGTGCGGAGGTAACCTAAATTTCTCTCTCTCTCTCTCTCTCTTTCTGTAATTTACGACCTGTTTCCACCTAGCCGATCATCTTTCTTTTATGATAGAACACTAAAGTCTATGGGATGAATATATTCTATGATGCACACACACATCAGTCATTAAAATATTATTTTCTATTTACTGCATACACGCGAATTACACATTTTATTAAACACGTTTTTATTAGACCATAGAATTATTATTTAAGAATAACCAAAAAAAAAACAATAAAATAGAAAATATTCATTGAATTTATTAGAAAACACGAAATAATTAAATTAAATATCAATATAATACTAAATTTGTGTATAATAAGTAAAAATAGAAGATATTAGAAATTGATTTAAAGAAATAAAGGGAGAGGGCCAATGAAATTTGTACTCTTTCCGAAATCCTAGGGATAATAGAAGAAGGGAAAAAAGTGGGAAGAATGATAAAAAGAACAATTGGATTCGAATGAGAATCGGAATGGAAATGTGTAATGAGTGGTGGTGGGGGAGGAGGGTAACGAAAGGAAAGATAGAAAGAGAGGGAAAGAGAGAAAGAAATACTTACAAGAAAAAAAAAAAAAGGAAGAAAAAAAAAATAGAACGAGTAATAGACAGTAATTGAGTGTAATGGCAAATAACCCAGAAAAAGAAACAGAGAGAGAGGGAGTGAGGAGAGGGGGAGGGAGAGAGGGTGGAAAACTCGTACGGAACTTTTAATTCGGTCATTAAGTCGAACGAGAACTACCAACGTATATGTTCATGCATATATATATATATATATATATGTATATGTGAGTATATGTGCATAAGGTTTCCACGATTTAACTGAACTATACAATTTATCGCTGACGCACACATACACACATATATATATACATAGAAATTTGTATATAACGTATGTAAAAAAAAAAAAATAATGTGGTACACGCATACACTCTCATATATACGAAACATATAATAAAAGAACCATATCCTAGAATGTCGTCTATGTGTGATCCTTTCGAAAGAATTAAATTTTATATATATATATATATATATTATATATTTCCTAGAAACATTTTCTCTTGATCTTAGAAAAAAAAAAAAAGAAAAAAAAGAAATAAAAAAGAAATGAAAGAACTATCTCAATCTCACGAATATCTGCTGGCACATTTCTAATCGAAATTCACTTACACAATCGATATACGCGTTATAATACTTCGTGATATTTTGTAGAATAATGGTAGAAAATAAGTAAGAGAGGAAGTGTTTTACGCGTGTTTTATTCTTTCCGTATCGTACCATAGAAAAGTTTTACTCTACTTCGGATGATAAATATGATTTTTATTACTTTCAAAAAGTTAATAAATGCGTTACTGCGTTATTTTCTTCTTCTTCTTTCTTCTATTGTCTACATTTTATTCATCGTTTAGGTATCTTTTTTCTCTCCCATATATATATTACCCCTATTCGTTATTTCGTTTTATTTATTTTCCAGAATAATTGATTATTTAAACAAATTAAATGCAACGCTTAGAAACGAATGCACTAGAATGCATTGTAGTTACGTTTACAGACGAAAAGGTTTTACGAGAAAATAATGAAAAGTTGTATTTGTGTATGTGCATGCGTATGTGTGCATGTGAATAACATCGAACATTCTAAGTGCATTAATGTGTTCATTCTTGTATCGAATTAAATAACAATGAGTACTAAATTCTAAATCGTAAGAGAAAGAGAAAAAGAGAGAAAGATAAAGAGGGGGTGAGGGGGTGAGGGGGAGGAAATGGATACCAAGAACATGTATTTACATGAGTGTATTATTGGTATGTAGATTTTCATATGAGAATATATGGTGCATATGTTGGCATGTAATGTAATGTATGTATGTTTAGATGTACATATGTTTTGTATATACATACTTGCATGTGAATTTGTAATCGCATGTAAAGATATGCATGTACAGTAAATATGTATCTTTGCCGAATATTCAGACGTTCGTGATATTACAAGCTGGAGGAATCAAATTTCCGTTACTTCGATCCAGGGTTTGGTCTGATCCTATCACCTTACTGACATCTACAATACCACAGTTTACGTATCTCTACGGGGGAGGGGAGGGGGAGGAAGGATATTGCTTTTTCAATTATTTCACGTGAAATAATATATTTATATAGGATTTATATTTTCGATTATTTCATATTTTATGGAAGTAATGATAATATCTTATCGCGACATTTAATTATTATTAAAACGAATCGAGTAATTTTTTTTGACAATTATCTAAATTCATTTTTTATATTATCTTCGCGAGATGTATTTTATGACAATTAATTTACAAACGTTTAATTACGGTTAATAAGAAAA